GGCAGGACTTCTTCAGCCGATACCCCCGCCAACTTGCCCATTTCAACAGATCTGAATGGACTTGCTCGGACCGTTATAGTGACACGTCACGACGCAAAGTAAACTGTATCAATGTCGAAGTGCAAGCCAGCACGCACACGTTTAAAAAAGTTATGACTGCGCAGAGGTTCCTTGAGTGCACATTTGTGTGATCAAGCGAAATGTCCGTAAACAGATATCAACTTACTTGCTCCTTTACCCAGATATTCGTCCGTTCGAGGTTTTGCTGAAAACAAAATAATCAGCTGAACTGTTTCTCAATGTGATAATATTAATAAGAGTGATATCAATATTAATTTGTATTTGCTCGGAAGAACGGCGGCACTACAGAAAGGCAACAGCCAGTAGAACGGAGGCCCGTGCTGCAGTGCCAAGTGACGCTGATTATGTGATGATATTACGTACAAGATAAGAACATGATCTTCTGAACGTTGCGAAAATCGCTTCTGAGTGTCGGTTGCTCAGTGATGGACCAGGAAAATCAGCCAGCGAGCCAAGGTGAGCTTAGACGGGTCAATCGTTGAACGGTCTGGATGGTAAAGCCATGGCAGTTTGGTGGAACGGTTGCTCACTTCAGTGAAGGGCGCGGCGCCAGCAGGTGGCTTAGTCGGTGTAGACGGCCGCAGCCCTTTAAGACACTCACATCCCGGGCTATGGACGTAGCACCACAGTCACCCGTTATGGCTTACTGCCAGTGTCGTCATCATCGTCAAAATTTGGGGTCTTCAACTGATCATACTAGTCAAAGCAATTGCTTTGTGCATTCGGCACAGCGCACAAGAAACGAAGACAAAGTAGAAGGGTGTAAAAAGGAGAACGCTTACTCTGAACTGAAGTTTTTTATTGAAAAGAAACGCCAAAATAAGCAGCAGCATTCCAAACCATTATGGCCAATTCAGCCCGTGTCGAGGTATGTTTTCTCGAGACGTGCTGAATTGTCCAATATGGTGTGGAATGCTGCTGTTTATTTCAATGGTTCTTAAACAAAAAACAAGAAAAAACTTCAGTTTAGAGTAATTTTTTTTTTTTTTGTGTAAACAATTCTACTTTGTCTTCGTCGCTTGTGCGCTGTGTCGAGTTCACTAAGCATGAGCGAACTAGGCCGCATCGCCGCATTACTTCAAAATAATTGTTCTTTCATTACAATGCACGTCGACTCAAAATCCAATAGTAAGCCTGATGCTGCTTTGACATATTGTCATCAGCAGATTTTTTTTTGTATTTTCGTCGTATTTTCAGCAGGTCTTCGATTATTCTCGTCAAACAGTATCCTGTATCGCACGCGAATACATTTGCTTTAAACATTCAAACGCTCTATCGAAATGCCCATACCAAAACTTTTTCTTTTTTGCGCTCGTCTGTCCGTCCTTGCATTTCTCGCAAAATTTAGCGGGTAAAGTAAACTGTTGTTTAGGTCAAGTGATGTCAATTGATGTCATGTGACTTGCCGTCACGTGATCTGATATCACATGACCTGACTTTTCGTCACCCATTTTTCAGTGTGATAATATTAATAGGAATAATATTAATATTAATTTGCATTTGCGCAGAAGAACGGCGGCACCACAGAAAGGCAACAGCCCGCTGCACATGCTGCATTTTAGAAACAAAATATGTACTCTCGACTGGACATCTGTGACATTACAATCTAATGTAAATGATGCCTACGATACATTTCATGACTTGTTCAAGAAGTGCTGTGATTAATGTTGTGATGAATGTTTCCCGTATGAACTAATATAACGATCAAGAAAATCACGAAAACATTGGATCACACTTCATTACATCAAAATGACTAGAAAAAAAGAGTACATTGTTCAAAAAGTTTATTTCCTCTAGAAATTCAGACGCGTAGAAAGATTTTCTTTCCTCAAAGCCGTAACCTGCGGCGTGCCTCAGGGTAGCGTACTGGGCCCTCTGCTCTTTAACATTTCTTTATAAACGACGTTGCAAAGGTTAGTGCTCTCGCGCAGTTTGTAAGATATGCCGATGACAGCAGCCTTTTTAAGTCGGGCGTAGACGCAGAAAGTTTAATTTTTAAGGGGAACGTTATTCTCGTGAAATTTCGCAGATGGTCTAAGGTAAATTGCCTTAACATTAATGTAAACAAAATCAATTCACTCATATTTTGGTAATTGAATAAGCACGTCTCCTTCACTAAATCCCTCACCTTAGGCGGTACAGTAATTAAAATAGTTAAGCACCACAAAACGCTGGGCGTAATTTTTTCTAAAAATCGGTCGCGGGATCGCTATATTGATAATTTGGCCAGAGGTTGTGCAGAGTCATTGGCGTTGTTAGAAGATGCCGCTCAACTTTGCCTGTTAACATAAAATTCATGATTTATCATGCCCCTTTCCGGTCTTATATAAATTATTGTCACCTCGTGTGGGGCACAAAAACAAGTTCCAATTTAAACAAAATTCTGCTACTACAAGAAAAGATACTACGTATCATTGCTGATGTACCCTACCTATATACACTAAACTGCTGTTCCGAAAATTCAGGATTATTGCCATTACAAATATGCGCGTATATCGCCTTTTGTATGCTTTCCTTTTCGGAACAAATGAATTCATTGAATTTCTTTGGCGCACCTCGGACTTGATAAAAAGAAGTCCCGATCAGTATGCGCTGCTCTGAGGTATGGTATGTTCCTCATTTCCGCACGAATCATACTTTACAATCCCTTCGCAATATGTTACCGTTTCTACTCAACCGGTACCACCTAGAGAAAAGATATATACTCTCTGACTAGAGCTGAATTGCATATGTGTTTTATCTAACGCGCATGTCTCTGTATGGCATTTTTCTTTTTCTTTTTCTCGCTTTCGCTTAATATGCTTGCTGCCGAATATTTGTGCGCTCTCACTTGTTTACTCTGTTTATTAAAACTGAAGTAGATGCCTAGTTGGTAAGAGACACTATATATGTTGAATAACAAGGCTTTTCAATGTATCACACGTTTCTGCCAGGTTGCTATGCTTTTTTTGCTTTAGGGCCCCAGACCAACTCAAGTCACCTTATGGTAGCTTTTTGTCTGGAGGCCCGCCAGAGTATGTTTCTGGAAATAAATATTTCATTTCATTTCAATTCAGTTTCTCTTCTCAGTTAAGCGGGGATTTGGTGTCACGTGACCTGAAGCCACGGTAAGTATTCACCAAATTAGTTTCCCTGTTAAATTTAGCGAGAACAGGGTGATATCACGTGGCCTAATAACACGTTACCTATACATCAATTCAGTTTCCGGGTAATATTTACAGAAAAAGATCGACCCAATGTTACTTGACGTCAGGTGACCTTTGCACGAAATCTGTTCATCTTCTAAGTTTGGCGGGGAAATTTATGTCAAGTGACCTACGCACCAATTTATTTTCCCCAATGAATTTAGCTGAAGCATTGAAGCCATGTTACCTATGCACCGAGGTTTTCTCTCAATATACCAGGGAAATTGATAAAAAAAAATGAAGGCTTTCCTTCAGTCCCCAGAGAGACAACCTAATGCATTCAACTGGTTTTAAATAACTGCACATTAAATACTGCATTTTATGCATTATGGTATTTTTGTGATAAAGGTCGCTGCTAATTTTTGATTTGGTCTGAACCTGGGTAGATTTTTTTTAGAACCGCCATGTTCGCCATGAATAAAAGATCAAAACTGTAACGGATACAAACGATTCAAACGGTTCCAGGGGACGTACTTTAGTCATTCCGCATGAGTTCTTCGTTTGGTGGAGGCCTCTCGAGACATCTCGAGGACTGAAAGTTGCCTTTGGAAATATTTCTTCAAGAGCCGACTATAGGCAAACTTCTTTCGTGGTATGCATGACATCCAGGCTTTTTTATATTTATTTCTAAGACTTTTAAATTCCCGTCCAAACAAAACAAATAAAGGAAGCGGCGCCGCAGGCGTCCGTGGCGGCGCAGTAGCGGGATCGGGCGCGAGAATGAGGCTGACTGCCCACAGCGGCACATCATTCCTTATGGCTTCTCTTGAAGCCTAGAACGTTAGACCCCGATTGGTCCGGTAGTATACACTGTGAGTATAAACAAACTACATTATTTTCCAACATTTTATAATTCTTTATTAACTTAGGGAAAGATAAAAAAAAAACAGGCAATTGCAGGTATTGAACCCCGGCCATCTGCGTGGGAGCCAAGCAAGCTGCCGACTTAGCTGCACGGACTTTTTTTTTTCTTTATTGCTCAGCTGCGCGGACTTGGCTGCGTAGGCAGAATTATCCCGGACGATACCGTTCGATATTCGACAAGGGGTGCAGTACAAGAACTTCGGCAACCACAAGAGAACGTTACTGTTGGTTATCCCATCCAGCCTTCGAGAATAACTCTTCCAAGGTCGCCTTGACGACCCGATGGCAGGGTGTAACGCTAGTCATGATTGTGCCCTCATGTTATCAGCCGCTGCTCTTTTCTTATCTGTTTCGCTGCTCATATGTTCTGTATGTATTATCTTGCTCCAGGCAATAAACGTTCGTTCGTCACTTGACACGCAACAGACTCCATGGTGTCAGAAGTGGAAAAGAAATGTTTCTAGCAGACGCCCTTTCGAGGTTTCCAAACGAAGCACCCTTGCGAGAGGAAGCAGAACATTTTTATGTGAACGTAATCGAATGCTTGCCTGTTTCAGACAAACATCTGAACGATGTACTGGAAGAAACCAACCGGGACCCCAGCATGACGAAGCTCCGGGAGTACGCAGGTAATGCTTGGCCCAAAACCAAAAGCGAGGTTCCAGCCGAGGTCCGAACCTGTTGGAACTACCGCGATGAAATGCGCGTCCAGGACGGACTCGCGTTTCGCAGCAACAGGCTCGTCATCCCCGCGAGGCAACAGAGGGAAGTACTTTCTTTGCTGCACTCCGCGCATGAAGGCGTCGGAAAATGAAGTCAAGAGCAAAGGCCGTAATTTTTTGGCCCAACATGCGAAGCGACTTTTAGCAAATGGCAAAGAATTGTGCCGAGTGTCAAAAGTATAAACCTAAGAATGTGAAGTTGCCACTACTCAGCCGTGACATCCCTACATTGCCATGGCAGACCATGGGAATAGACTTGTGCTACCACAATGACAAAGAATTTATTGTTGTGTTAACTTTTTCTTTTTTTTTCGATGTGAGAGCCCTCGACCGCTCGACTGCGAGCAGAGTCATCGCGGTCTGCGCAGACATCTTTGCGGCACACGGCCTGCCAAAGACGCTTTGCAGTGACAATGGTCCGCCATTCAGCAGCCAACAGTTCAAGGACTACCTCCGTAAGATGGCCACCAGGCACGTCAAATCCAGTCCATACCATCCGCGTGCAAACGGGATTGTGGAACACGCAGTGCAAGAGGCAAAGAAGCTCCTGAGGAAATATGCCTATGGTGGTGACGAATACTACACCGCATTACTGGAGTGGCGCAATACTCCCAGGGATGATTATCTCAAGTGAACTGTGCATCGGCTGATGGTGCGACAGACTGGGACCCTTCTACCAGTACCCCCGAGTCACCTGGAGCCGAGCATCGTTCGACCGCAAGTTCTCTAAAGACGTCTACGGTACATCCGGGCGAAACAGCGGACGTATTACAACCGCAGCGCCAGGTCTCTTCCCAATCTAAACGATGGCGACCAGGTGACCATGTATGACACCTTGGCCAAGACGTGGGCTCAAGCAGCAGTCACTGGAGCAGCGGGTGCCCCTTGGTGCTACATTGTCCAGGATCAAGACGGACGAGAGCTTCGCCGCACGAGAGAACACCTGAGAAGCACAAGCCAGGTCCTGATGCCGACATCACACAACACACCACCAGCTTTGCCCGAGACTCAGACGGCGGAATTGCGCCGTAGTGAGCGACCAAGGAAATGTCCCGCAAAATACCCGGAGCCAGAACATTAACAAGCATTTAGGTGTCTTTAAGATCTGTAGTAAGCAGTCCGTACAACAAAAGTGCTTATAACTACCTTGTGTTTCAATTATGTTCAATTCGAAAAGCTTTCTTTAAAGAAGAAAAAGGAAGATGTAACGCGAGTCATGATTGTGGCCTGATTTTATCAGCCGCTGCTCTTTTCTTATCTGTTTCACGGCTCACATGTTCTGTATATACTATCTTGCTCCTGGCAATAAACGTTCGTTCGTCACTTGACACGCAACAGACTACCTCGGGTACAGCAGGACACTTGCCAGAGTTCGTGAAATGTACTACTGGCCAAAGGTTTTGAACACCGTTCACATCTACACACGATCGTGCCACAAATGCCAACAACGCCAGAAACCGCCCAGGAAGCCGGTTGAACTTCTTCAGCTGGATGGCCCCCCCCCCCCACCCCCCTTCGCCCCCCAACTGCCCCGTTTCAACAAATCGAAATGGACTTCCTTGGACCGCTATGGTGATACGTTAGGACGGCGAAGTAAGCTGTATCAATGTCAAAGTGCAGGCCAGCACGCACACGTTTAAAAAAGTAATGACAGCGCAGAGTTTGCTTCAGTCCACAATTGACATGAAACGAAATGTCCGCAAGCAGATCCCTATTGAAAAGACCATCAGGAAAGATCCTGATGGTCCATCATGATGCTCTGACGAGTTTTGGGACATTGATCGTCTGATCACCTGATCGTGCGATGGTTTGATGGTCTGACGTATTTGGGATATTGATGGTTTGATGGTTTGGTGGTGTGTTGGTTTGATGGTGTGATGGTTTGTTGGTGGGTGTATAGTTGTAATCACACATATGTACTGGCAGAAGACAAAGATTTCATTACAGTCAAATGTAAAATTTAATATGTGCCCGATATTATTTCAAAAAGCATTAGGGAACCTTCTGAAACCCCCGTATAAATCTAAAAGCAAAGTTGGTACTTAGGTTATGGGATGTTATTATTTCTATTTGGAAATGCTTGAACGTTGAATTATTAAGCAGCGAAAACAAGATGTAAGAGAAAATGCATTTAATACACTCGCTACTTTTGAGACTCCAAGACGCGCAGCAACTTCAGCGGTGTCCGTTCCGTAGCTATCTACACTATGTCCCCATGTTTTATGTTGGGCATGACAGCGTCGTTCGACAGCGCCCAATACACTACGCCTCGTCGCCCCGAGAATGCAGTAAGCCTCGTATTGCTGCATTCACGGCTTTGTAAACGTTTTTCCTCCCAAATATTCAGTTCACAGTCCAGGTACGCCCTGTAAATGATTTTCCTATCAAGTAAAGTGCTTTTTTTGGCACATTCTCTAAAACGTAGATTGTAAACATGATATAAACATAATGAAGCGGATCACCAAATCGTTTCACCAACGGACAGTAAAACAATTTACAACAGACCTATGGTTGCAAAAACATACCTGACTCCATAAGGAGGTGTCTTCGTTACCTTTTCAGTATACGGGGACAATTGTTGAGGCGGAGTATTACGAATTGAACACCCTGTTTCGAGCCACGCCGCTGTCAGCTTTACACACCGAATGCAATTCACGCATGCGCGACGACGTGAGATCAATGGCGCCTTCTCTCGGCCACCACAGGATCCTCCCGAATATAGTCAGGTTCTTTCCGCAACCGAAAGATGTCATGAGAAGCACTGTCAGCGCTTTTTTGTTCTGATGGTCTATTGAGATATCCTGAGAGGTCTCATCCGGGAAACATCAAAACGTTTTGACGGTCTGTCAGTCGGCCAAACAAACGTTTTTAATGTGTCCGAGCCACAAATAGACACCTTTAATGGTCCATGAGCCACCATCAGGACATTTTTAATGGTCTGTCAGGCACCATTAAGTAAGCTTGTCGGACTATCGACAGTTAATTCTGGTAGTATTAGCGGGATTACAAACACTGTGTTAATATATATCTATACATATATATGCGATCGGTTTGAGCCTGCATGCGATCAAGTCAAGATGAATATAAACTCGCTCAGAACCACTGCAACCACGCGCGCCCATGACTGATCGAATATTGCCGTTGCATATACGAGCCGCTGCAGACTATAATTCGTGAAAATACCAGACTTTACGCTGTCAACGTGCTTTGATGGTACAAAGCTCTTTTATGGTTCATCGCCTGATGGTCTGGCGGACCATGAGGTGCCGTTATGAGCATCTGGCGGACCGTCAAACGCTTTTTATGGTCCTCCAGGGTAGTTTGATAGAAGCCATTGGAGCACTTGGCGGACCGCCAAAACGCTTTTGATGGTCCATCAGGGAAGTCTGATGAACCATCAGGTGCCATTGGTGCTCCTGACGGACCATCAAGACGCTTTTGATCGTCTATTTGGAGGGTCTGATGGACCATCAGGAGCCATGAACTAGGTCTGGTGGGCCAGAAAGAAAGCCTGATGTTCCATCAGGGATGTTTTATGGGCCATCAAAAATGCTTGATGGGCCATCAGATTTTCTTTATAGTTTTCGATACGGGCTGGATTAGAATCTACACGACCGTATGCCGAAGCAGACATCGCCAACACCCACTGCAAAAAAGCGGCGAGTGATGGTGACTTCGATGCTGGCTGTTTATTTTTTGTTACAGATTGCAATACCGGATAGCACTTTCTAATGGACATCGGAGTAGGAGTCAGCGCCTTGCCTTGATATGCACTTCCACTGTGACCTTGACCTGTCCATTGCGTCTTACGGTAAAAATGTTTTGACTATTATAATTTGAGTACCCGAGATATTAAACAGCATTGTTCGTAAAAACCGAAATTACGTAATAATTCGTATACTTTTCCAGGCTCTTGAATCTTTTGCATGGTCGACACGCTGGTTTATTTGGCACGCTTAGGCCGATACGTTGCCATGGAGCTAGAGGGCCGTTTTTCTCTACATTAAAGCTAACCCGTTTGATTCTACATAGCGAGCTCGTAATTCCTCACATGAAAACGCATTAAAGAAGTGTTTGTTATCAATTAAAAATAACAAAGTCTCGCGAAAAGAGGCTAAATAATCTGACATCTTTTTGTACGTGATTATCTCAATATTTTCCGAGCGAAGATGTGATCTCTTCCGCAGATAAACTTCTTTGCGGTCATTTACCTGGTCCAAGCCTATGAAGTGAACGTATGAGTTGACCATAATGTGTGTAATGCTATTTATATAACTTAACTTTTTAAAATCATTATTAACTTTTGTTGTTTGGTGGTAATGTTTGTTTATTTTTTATAATTTACTGGAACTTTCCAATAACACAAGGATTGAAGTCCAAATAGTGTTTGAAAACTTTGTTTTCAATATTTTTCTCCAGCTGATGTGGTAAAAACTAAACTTCTCTAAAAGTTAATAAGCAAATATACAAAAGCTATTTGACATCAGACCTCACCATGTCAACAAAAAAGGAAAAATTTTATAAGACAAGATAAGTGAAATGGTTTTACCGAAAATGTCAAAATACCAGTGGCAGTATTTCTACTGCGCAGTCTTGGACACATGATTGTTATAGAGTTTTACCGAGATGCCTGTGTGAGAAATTATTTTCATGCGTTCGACATAAATAATAAATTGGAGCTAAAAGGGTTTGTGGGACGTTTAAGAGTAGAACGCAATAGCGTTAGCAGGTACCGATCCCAAAGCCTTCGCATATAAACCCGCGCTAGTTTCCAAGCCCCGCAATCGTGTGTGCGTGGTCTAGTCGGTGGGGGTCATGTGGTCTCATTGAATGTTTTCCGCGAAAGTTTGTGTGAAACGTTTCCGCTATATTTTGAGGAAAACTTTTTCGGTAAATTGGAATTGGCAAACTATTTCCCCAAAGTTTGGTGCGAAAACTTTCCGCTCCATTTCGCGAAATATCTTCCCGCCAAAGTAGGTGGATCAATGGGCTCGTGACGTCACAGACACTTGTGTCGTCACACGTGGCTGCGCGCGTTGGATTATGGAATTTTTTGTCGCATCGACGCCGTCGCCGATACCGGATTTTTTGCGACACGACCTGCTAAACGCAATCGTGTTAATTGTTAAAAAATATAGTTCTGGCGCAGCATGAAGTAGGCATGCATTTTTGCTACCTTTTTACTGGTTTTACCGCTAAGTTTTCATTATTTCTTTCGATGCCTGAAGACTGTAGAGTGAAAGGGAAAAGAGTGATTAAGGAAAGTCATTAGGGGGCTGCAGCTTTGCCAACTTCTCTCCAATAACGCTGGAGACAACATCTGAAACTAGTATGAGGCAGTCGTGTAGGCATGCATTGATGGAAAGCACGTTGCAGGAATGAAGTACAAATTTTAATTACGGTGTCGAACTATGGCCATTCGCAGCAAGAAGAAGCTCACGTTGTCTAAGCACGAGTTTTTTTTTTTTTTTTTTTAAGATGTTTGGAAGCAGGGAAAAACAAAATACTGCCACACTCCCACGCAAAGGCGTCTGGCACCGGCCGAAAATACATTACTGTGCTTTCAAAGGAATATCAATCAAGGTATTGTAGCAGGTGGGCTGGACAAGCTCCGTGTAGTTTCAATATATTCAA